GCACCTTTTCCCCTCTTTTAAGGAGCCTGCATCCCAAAGGCACAACAGGACACCAAAATGGGTCCCGGCTCTGATACCATCTGTAACACCCTAGGTCAACATGAGCCCACTAGTAGATATTATCCTCTCTGGGCTCTAGCCCGCAAGGATTTGCTTTGGTGCAGGACATGCACCAAAGTCTTGTACAAATTTTTACCTACACTCATGTGTAGGCAAAACTCCCTACACCCCCTTAAAACGACGCACTACACATCTGTACACCCCGCTATTTCTCGCTTCACGATAATATCTTAATAAGTAATTGATGATCCTAACTCATGCAGTCACATGCAATCAACTCAATAAGTAAATTGCTAGCCTAATCGAATCAATTACAAACAACTTGCGACGATGTTGTTGTTGTGGCAGCGGTGATGACGAGATGATGGTAGTTGTTGTGCTGTGGTAGCGGTGGTGGTGAGACAATAGTGGTCATGTTGGCAGCGACGACAACGAGAAACGATGGATGTTGTGGCTAAATTTGAGTGGGTTAGAGAGGGAAAATATAAAGGATTGAAAAGGAGAGAAAATAATAAAGAGTGAAGCTTAATCAAATCTCCGTTAGTGAAGTTTGTGGTTTTACCAGGGATTATATAATCTTTTTTAAAAAAAAAAATATATAAGGGTATATAAATTTTACATACAAATGAACATATAACAATTTGTAAATGAACATTCAAGATATTCCTAATGCTGGAGGAAATATCATTCAAGGAATAAGGAGTCATCAACTCAATTTGCTAGTCATGTTCTTTTTACTAGATGATATAGTGTTGAGATTTCAATGAACTAGTAATGATCGATGTGATAATGAACGCGGTCATTTTAATATAATTTTATATAGTTTACAATTTTATTTTATTTTTTAAACAATTCTACAATAATACCCAGCAAACAATACCTATATATTAATGTATGGATTATGACATATGAAATATAACTTGTTTATCAAATATTAATATAGTCAGTGGAGGTTTTAATTGACAACTTATGTTAATGATCAATCACCAATGCAAATCAAGTTGTTTTGAACATTTAGCTTTTTATTCATGAACATGTTACTTTTCTATTTTCTAATATGAACATTTTATATATACTACCAAGATGTATGCATCTGAAGGATGTGATGATTCATAGTAGTACTAAAGGAAAAGGAAACTTCCATTTCCTTCTTAATAAAAAAAAGTGAAATTGTAAATGGCGAAAATTGAAAGATTAGATATCAAAATATACAATACAATTCCGCACATATATAATATCAAACACAATAAACTTCTCAATACAAATTCAAAAAATTCAAGCTTATGTTATCGGTTCATGTTGTTTGGTGACTCCATGTCTTCTTGGTTTATTTGCTTTTTGTCGTCTTCCTTTTTCCCTTGTTATTGAGTGGTCCTACTCACTATATCCACGATTCTTTTTCTATTTGATAGATAAAACATACAAAATATTGAATTTGAACTAACAAAATAAGTGTTGAAATGAACCAATTTTCCTATGAAAACGAACATCAATTTGTATAACAATCAACATGAATACATGATCGAAGTAATTTAATATGGAAATGAACATATATAAATATATAAATGAATATTTATCTATTTGGAAATGACCATGGCAGATAATGATCAATGAACATGAAATATATACGTGAGTAAAATTGTGAAGCTATCATTAAGTGATTGTCATATATTCATATGAGATTGATCATACGTTGAATTTCAAACTTATTGAAGTGAACATTATTTTTTAATGTGAAAATGAACAATAATCCAAGTGAATATATTTCAATATTTGAATGAACATTTTTTAAAATATGAATGAACATATAAATATATTAATATTAAATTGAATAATCATTTAATAATATTTGAATGAATATATATTAATATTGAAATGAAGATCTAACTAAATGGGAATGTACATCTATTAATAGATGAGCGATCAAAACATATATCAATATTGAACATTTTTTCTAAAAGAGAATGAATATCTAGCAATAATCGACTATTTACTTATCAAAATCTAGACAATTGTACTCAACTTTTTATTTTTAGGCGAACAATTTAATAAAATAATAAGAGCACACGACAAATTAATATAATTCAATTATAATTGTAAAAAGAATCATTTCCGTGAAAACTATAAGTAATCACAAACTCTTACTAAAATTTCCTATTAGATCTATGAAAAATATTAGAAGAAGATGACATAAATATAACGATTTATCAAAATTCTAATAATTGTGTGTTAATGTGTAAATGACCGTATAACATTATGTAATCAAACATTTACCTATATAAAAATAAACATTTATACAAAGAATTTTCCATTCTAAACTATAAAAAAGAAAATATAATGAACATTAATATATATGTGAATGCCCATGTACTAATATACAAATGAAGATTTATATGAATCATTGATTAACATGTGAATGACTTTGTACTAGTTAATATATATATATATATATATATATATATATATATATATATATATATATTTATATATATGTATATGTATGTATATATATGTATATATATATATATGTGTATATATATATATATATATATACATATATATATATATATGAACATTTATCAAATTGAAAATAAACATTCGTAAAAAAGAACTTTCACTACTATGAACTAAATTTATCTTTCTACAATCATACGAAACAGATCAAATCATTAGAAAATTGCGGCAATTGAACTTTGTTTTCAATTTTTTATCCAACAATATTCTTATCTAATAACACACCAAAAAAAAATTAATTTGTTGCAATTGCCTCTTATTGACACATATTCAACTGATCGAAAATTCGTAAAAAAAAATAAAAATAAAAAACTGATTGAAATCGAAATTTTATTTCCTAATATGAATTTAGCCTGGAAGAGAAAAAATGAAAGAGAGAGAAAATGGTGGTGATTGTGAATGAATTTTTTTTAAAAAAATTTTACGTGGCTTGGGGTAGGTAGCAATTGGGTCACTTGGGTGCGGGAGAGTATGGATGAGCCCATGAGGGGGGGTGTAGGTAGATTTCCCTAGACTTGGGTGTAGGGTTTAATAACTAGCGGGAGAGTGTGGATGAGGCTCATGAGGGGGAGGTGTAGGTAGATTTCCCTAGACTTAGTGTAGGGTTTAATAACTAAAAGTCCTGCACCAAAGCAAACCCTTGCGGAGTAGAGCCCAGATAGGACAATATCTATTAGGGGGCTCTACTAATGGGCTCATGTTGACCTAGGGTGTTACATAACTTATTACTTGACATTTGAAGAAAAAACTATTAAAAGTTTTGGAATAAAAAATAGTTTATATTAATATAATTTCATCAACGAATTGAGGTATAGTATCAATGAATTAAGGTATAGTATTGCTTGTTTCAAAATAGTTTGTGTTACAATATAAAGACATCAAAGATACAACTAATTTGTCCAACACTTTTGAGGACATTCATTTGTAAGACTTTATTGTCTTTTATTTTAAAACATAAATTAATTATGTTATATTGGAATGGTGGTTAAAAATCTTGCTTTTTATTTAAATGGGTCACATGTTCAATTATAAGCAACAACATTTTATTTTTTTAACTGAAGGGTTGGCATAAATTTGAAACCTTTACCTAAGAGGAGGGTGTCACGTGGCACAAAAACTTTTTTAAGAACGCTTTTTAATATATTAAATAAAAGCTAGTGTGTGGGCTGCAAGGCTGGGCGTTGCACCGGGTTGCTACTTTGAAAAACAATGTTAGTTAAAAAAAAAATGGAGGATTTAAAGAGAACAATTAAACATAAATTCCTATTGGCTAAGATGGTAAGAATTGTAATCTTATATCCATCAGGTTTGTTCGAAACTGTGGGATACTTTTTTCTCATTAATAATAATGACATAAAATAATTGTTGCAATGCTTATGGTGACGTGGCGCAATGCTGGTTAAATGATAACATGGCACAATGCTAGTGCAGATTTGCGTGGCAATGACCTAAGGATGCAACATAGTCTACTGAGTACACAATTTCTGAAAATATGATTTTGAACGTACGACCACAAACTACTCAACACTATTTGAACATCATCCATCAAGTGTTAAAGTTTCCACGGACAGTTCAACTACCTATAAAATATTTATAATAAGTAAATTATCACCTTCAATAAAAAAAAATATGTAATATCATACGCAATAGCTAGAAAAAGTTGAGTCCGTTTTAGAGTGCCATGGTTTCACCAATAAAAGGGGAAGTGGAGCCAATATTATTAGAGCGACTACAAATGTTGTTGCCTAAATGATCTTAATATGTATGATCATTCAGTATATACATATCAAAGATGCAACAACAACAATAAAATAAAATAAAACAACATTTAGTAACATCATTCATAAAGTAACATTGTTGGATTTTTATAAAAGGAAGTTTCACTTTAATCATTCATAAAGTAACATTGTTGGATTTCATATCAAATAAAACTTTGTAATAATATCATTTTAACTTATGTATCGACAATGACTATTTTTTCGATGAATAGGTGCAATTATCATATATAGTCATTCATTTAAAATCTTTTAGGCTTTTTGTTCTAACTTCTGAGGTATTTTAGGGAAGATAAAAATTGTGCATATAATCAAGCTAGGGACAAAATTTACAAGGACAATATTCATATATAGCCTTTCATTTAGAGATAAATTGTCTATAATAAGTCAAAATGCTTAAATTGGACACTATATGCAGTATAACAAGAAATTTAAGATGAATATTTTCTTCATACACTATTTAACAAGTGCTTCTAAATATGATTAATAAATAACCCCAAAATAACTTATATTTAACCAAACACGTGGTAGATGAATACTAAGAAAAAAAAGCATATGTTCCCACCTTTATTGATAACCAATCAATATACATTCTATAATTGAGTTTAATTATAACCCGTTTCATAATCATTTTTACCAAAATCAAGTTGAAATTCTTAAAAGAAATATCTCTCATATTTCTATTAAAGGCTAGCAAAAGGATAAAACAACAAGGATAATACAAAGAGAGAAAATATGGCGTCGACAGAAGTGGTTATTGTAACTCCTCTTTCGCCCACAAAGAAGAACAGAATTCAAGTGTCAAATACCAAAAAACCTTTGTTCTTTTATGTTAACCTTGCAAAGGTTAAATTATATATTTTGTTATAGTTACAACATTTACTTCAACATTTTTATATTAATGTCATATTTTTTTATTTACCTTGTAATGTTAATTAGTGTTTATGTGTTTGTTGTGCCTTATTGGTGCAGAGATACATACAACAACATAATGAGGTCGAGCTTTCTGCATTGGGCATGGGTATGTTCTTGTGAACATATGAATTCATTATAATTCTATTTTTTTGTCCTCCAATTGGAAATTAGAAGAAAAATGATTCAAACTTTCTTACTATATTAGCACTTTAATTACATTTATTTACTCCCCCGTTTCATAATGTTAGTCCCATATACTATTTTGGGCGTTTCAAAAAAATCTACCCATATTGAATATGTTCCATTTCTAATTTAATGTTTTTGGAATTAATTGGTTGTGGATTGATGACATAGCTCTAAGCAAATATATTCTTCTTTTCTTATTTTATGTGATTGATTTTATATGTGACTAACATTATGAAACAGAGGGAGTATTTATTTACTAGGTTTCTAATCATGATGTATTCTCAATCATATATGTTGTCTAATTACATCTCTAACAACTTGATAATTTTGTAGTGAATGTATATTCAATTAAGATCACTTTCTTATATTTCAATTAACAATAAAATATTCACATTTTGATCTTGTGTATTACAGCAATTACAACGGTTGTCACCATTGCTGAAATTCTAAAGAATAATGGTTTTGCTTGTCAAAAGAGTAATAGGCTTGCTCTACCTCTCACTTCTATCATTTTAACTTATATTATTTTTCATTGATTTATAGTGTATCTTTCATGAACCTATTTTTTTTTTCTTTGGAGAATAGAGGTATGTACATCCACTATTGGCATGAAAGATGAAAACAAAGGTCGGATGGTTCAAAAAGCCAAGGTAATTTTATTTTTTTATTTTTTTTAATTTTTTTTTATTTTTTTGGCTTTTTAAAAATATGATAATCAAATGCAGCATGTCTTTCATTCACCAACACAAATCAATTAAATTAGATTAATAAATTATTATAAGCTTTTTCCAAAAAACGGAAAAACTGTAAGTACAAAAAATGTGAATGCTTATTTTTATAAACAATCGATGATATTGCATGCATTACTTGTAAATGTCTAAATGGTCGTCTTTTGCTATGGAGTATAATTTTACCCATGACTTATCTTTGTATATATATATGTTTCCAGATCGAAATAGTGTTAGAGAAAACTGAAAAATTCGATTCTTTGATGTCTCCAAGAAGTAAAAACAAAGATGACGACAATAAAAACGTAGACAACGACAACAATAATACTAACACGGCTCGTGACACTTCAAAGGAGAAATAGTCTATGAGCATGCATTTCAAGTGCTATTTCAACCATTGCTCTCGTTTCTAGCAATTTGTAGCTGACCATTATTTCTTACTAAAGGTATAGAGAGAAGACCTCCATATATTAGGGTAATATATGCACATTAATGACATCAGTCAATGTGACATTACTATGAGAAATGTCACTAATGGTTGTTGGTTGCTTCTTTAGTGAACCTTATATGTATTCATTTATAATTATTTATTATTTATTATTTATTTTGCCTTTCACTTCTATTTTTGGAATTGTACAAGTCACCGTTGATGACTAATGACGGAGCAATGATTGAAATAAGAGCCTTTGTTTTTGTCTATTTCTAATTAAATTTTCTCGTTCTTAGTTTGTTAATTATTTCCAATATTGAATCTTTGTAATTTTATTTTTTTTTGACGGGGATTCTTTGTAATTAACTAAGCCCTATGCGTAAATGCGTAATGATTCACAATCAAATATGTTTAAAAGTTTATTGCACATCGAGTTTTCAATCAATGTTCTAATGCACAACTAGAAATTATAAATAATGTTCTAATGCACTATTAAAAATTACAAACCAGATTTCGATTACAAGTTGAAAAACCATCAAACTTTACATAGTTAAGAACACTATTAAGTATTACATAGTAATGAAAACTGTTAAGTTTTAACAAACAAAAATTTGTACACTAGACGTAAGATAATTGATCATTCATCACTTCATTAGTCACCCTCTGAAATGGATTAGAGCTTATCAACTATAATCTTTGCCTGTTGGATTGTTAAATACTTAACATGTAAATTATTAACAATGCATGGAATAAGTGTACGAGTTAGAAACAAATACAGTGTAATTCGATCTATAAACAGATTAAAAAGATTTAAAGAAAAAGCTTTAGATGAAATAAAATAGATTATAATCAAGAAAAAATTGCTCGGAATAATCCTACCTTCGGGGCGTCCGCCCAGAATAATCCCACCTTTGGGTTATTTTTAAATAATCCGACCTTTATACACAATCCGCTAAAATGGTCCCAAGTGACCTATAACCGGTTGAGTAGATATATTTTTTTTTATTAAGTTTAATTTACACGTGTCACCACGTGATTGGTCAAAAAATAAGTTATAATTTAAATTTTGTTTTAAGAAATGATTATTAGTAATTAACATTAGTTAATTATTTTTAATACCCATAATCCCATAAAAAAAACCCTAACCGTCTCCTCTCTATTTTTTCTCTCTAGGGTTCTTAAAAAAAAAGTGTTTCATAGGCCAAAAATAGTCAAATTTCTCCGGAAATATGGCTATATCCGACCCTTTCCCTTTAGTTTCTTTATGTTTTTGTTATTGAGTTCAATAAATAGTACCCCCATAGTGGGTTTGAGTGTAGAAAGTGTCCCTATGGTGGCTTTGTTCTAGTTTTGTTTTTGTTTTTTGAGTTTAGTATGGTACAAGTTGTTTCATGGGTAAAGATTTGTGCGGGATCGAAAAAGAGGTTAATCCTTCGATTACAATAAGATGAATCAGACGAAAAAAAAAATTCAGGACTACAACAAATCGATAGGCCCCCTCGTCGAAAAAGGTTGTAAATCACAACGATATAAAAGAGGGTATGAACATTGTACGATTTGCAACAACGATCGTTGCTCTGCTGAAAGGAAGCTTTTATTTGATTCAATTGTCATGTATTTATTAAATTTAAATCTCTCTGTAGATGTCGTATAATTTTTTATTTATGAATCAATCTTTATTATAAAAAAAATAATAAAAAAAAACCTAAAATTTAAACCAAACCCTAGCCCCACCACGACCCTTGCCACCTCCCCGCCTGGTCGCCCCTACCATTGGCCTAGACGAGGCCCAGAGCCGCCAACCCCACCGCGACTAGAATCCAGCTCCCCCGCGCCGTTCGCCGACCCTCCCCTACCCTCTTCTGTCGCCACTAAACCACCACAACCAATCAACCATTATCGGAACTTCGCCCTAACCAACCTCAAAACCCCTTCGAAACCCCACCAAACCAGATCCCAAGAAACGGGGTGGTTGAAGGAAAGAGGGGTCGGAATTGGGACGGGAGAAGGATAAGGGGGCCGAGATTGAGACGAAGAAGGAGTTTTCGAGGGTGGAGGAATGGTTTTTCTGGGTTTTCATGGGGGAGGGAAAGGGGATGGTGATTCGGTTCGATTCGTGGGAGCTTTACTTCGATGGTGCTTGGGAGGGGTAGGGGGGCGCGCCGGGGGAGGGAAATCTGGGCGGCTAGAGTAGCGGCGTAGGGGAGTCGGGCGGTAGGCTAGCGGGGATGGGGTAGGGGGGGAGGGTGGCGTGGGCTGGTGGGGGTTGTTTTTCAAATAATTAATATATTTTTTTTCTTTACAAAAATTTAACAATTTTTTAAATTTTATTTTGTTTTTATTTTTTTGGACCAATCACAGGCCGCCACGTGTCAGGTAACTTGTTATAACAAGTTACAGGACCGGTTGGGACCATTTTAAGCGGATTGGATATAAAGGTCGGATTATTTAAAAATAACCCAAAGGTGAGATTATTTTTAACATACGCCTCAAAGGTGGGATTATTTCGGGCAATTTTTCCTATAATCAATGATGTAAAAGAAAACAAAAAGACTAAGATTATAGTCTAACCGTCCTCCCATTCTTCCAACTTAAGAACATATTCTGCATAATTGGAGGAGCTTGTAATGGACGACGTAGGCACGTAGCCAATCTTGTGAACAAATTAGTGCTTTGAAGTTAATGAAGCTCGAAATGAATCAAGAACTCGACCTTTGTTGCTAAATGCGGACTCTCCACCAAACTAAAATATCAAAATTAGGGCCATTAGAGCATCTTTATTGGTGAACCCAAATAAATGGTTCATGGGTCACTATCACCATTTCTCTCTCATCCACATCAACCCAACAAACCATTTACAATATTCACTCTTAACAATGAACACTAAACAATGGTTCATCATCAATACTCCCTACCCCACCTTATTTTATTTTTGTAAATATAATCTTTTTTGTTTCATAATTATAATTTATTAACCCGATGTCAATGTAATTAATTGACGTATTTAATATTTTAATCGTGATTACTAATTAAGAAATTATCGCATTTTTTTATCAGCTTTTTAAAAAACTAATTCTTGTGATTAATATTTTTTAAACAACAACGCAGCTAATTTTAATTAACAAAAAAAAAGAGGTACAAATCGTGATTACAGTTCTACAACTATAATCTAGTACATTTTATTTAAAAAAAAAAACAACTACACATCGTTTTGTAAGATGTTCTTAGGGATAACCATTTGTTGTAAACCTAGTTGCCTAAGTTTTCGTTGTTACCAAATTTATTCCATATATGTTCGACCAAGTCGTTTTTTAGCTGCAAATGAGTCTGTTGATCCTCAATCTCTGTTCTACGAGACAAGTATAAGTCGATATCCACAATACGATCAGTACGGTACTCGGTAGTGTCCTCATTAGCGTTGCCTCCAGCATTCATAAACTCATTGGTATTAACGTTATTTTGATACGTCTCTCGTTCATCTTCAACGATCATATTATGTATTATGATGCAGGCGAGCATGATATTGTGGAGTATGTCGGTATCCCACGCCAAAGACGGCTTTTTAATAATGGCAAAACGAGCTTGAAGGATCATATTTTGACCCAAATTTTTTTTCTTCTTTCTATTTGTTTTGGGGTTGGTATAAGCATCCATAATTATAATTTATATTTGGAAAAAATAAAAATTTAATAATAATAATAATAACGACAATAATAATAAAAATAATAATAATAACGATAATAATAATAAAGGAAATAATAATAATAACGATAATAATAATAAAAATGATAATAATAACGATGATGATGATAATAATAATAATAATAATAATAATAATAATAATATTAATAATAATATTAATAATAATAATATTGGTAATTATAGAGGGGATTTTTGAAGAGAAAAATATAGTAGAAAGAAATGGATTTTCAAAGTTGAAGAAAGTATAGCAATATGGGTGTCTATTTATAGAGGGGAAAAAAATAGAGCCGTTGGTAATTTTTTTTTTTTTTTTATTTGTGTTTTGTAAAATATATCCGTTGCAAAATTACAACGGATTTATTTAAAACAGTGACACGTGTCAAGCAGCGGCTGGGCCAAGTGGCGCGCTCCCAGCCGCTGCTTTCTATTTTTTTTCCTGAAAAAAAAATAAAAATGGGTGGGGCCCACAATCCATAAATTCGTCCAAATGCTTGCAGCAGCAATCGATCCCACAACCATTCACTATGAACAATTATAGAGATCACCATTAAGCCACCCATTCACTTGTTCACTGATTGTGAACTATTTTTTTGTTCACCCTTAAGGCTGCCCTTATATTGCCACAACCTCATCACTCAATTATTTCTCAAGCTCAATATTCAATAAGCGCAACCAAGTAAATAAACAATTTAAAAAGTTGAAACAAAGTCTTATGAATAGTGTGCGGATAATTATAAATGTTTGTTAACTTATTATTTGCCCTTATTAAGATTAACTGTCTCTTTTATTAAACTCTTAAAAATAGTGCGTGGACATTTATTTTTCTTCATTAATGCTGTCAATAACTAAATTTGTGAGTTGTGACATAAGACCAAACTGAAAAGAGTTCCCGAACATGACTAGCTATAGCGCGCACATTAGCCACCCTAATTCTAAATAATGTTTGAATTATTTAGGACGTAGGACTTGTTCTCTTCACCTAAAATAAGGTGATCTGGTTTTAATATTATAAGATCTGGTTTGATTTGGTCTGAATGTTTCTAGTCTCGTCTATATTTATCTTATTTGGATTTATCTGCTGTGGTCTGGTCTAGTCTAGTCTAGTTTGATTCTTCTTGTCATTATTTAACAAGTCTATCTGATCTAATCTGAATTTTTTTGGTTTAATCAGAATATTTCTGATGTAGTCTGATTAGTATTGGTCTGAACATAAATATTTGAAATAAGACCTTGTTCACTTCACCTTATTTTGCTGAAATGAAATAATTTTTATCGAGCTGAAATTATTTTTATTGAACTGAAATTATTTATATAGAATTGAAATTATTTTTTCTGATTCTCTATTATATTTCTTCTATATAATCATTGATTTTTACTGAATTGAAACTATTTTCACTAAAATAAACCTATCTTAGTGAACTGAAATTATTTTTATTAAAATGAAATAATTTTTATTGTAAAATGAAGTGAACAAGGCCTAATTTGTACAGTATAGAACAAGTCCGGAGTCAAGGAAGGAGGTA